CTCGTCGGAGCTGAAAACAAATTTTGAATTATAAGACTGCGTTGAAGCCATAAATCACCGGCAAGTGTTTTCTTTTCAAATCGATTTATATTTCAGTGGCGTTCGTAAAGATAATACGCGAAACAAAAACAGTCAGTGCAACAAATTCCCACTTGAGAAATAACTGAAAAAACACGAGTGTTCGTGGGAAAGCTAAACAATGCAATCAGCAGTGCAGTGACTTCGGATTTGACCTTTCAATTGCTCCAATACTTTCTACGTGTGTCCTAAAACTATGAATCGTGTACTACTTTGGAATGTGGTGGGTATAGTGGGGGGTCCGCATTGAGGACTTGTACTCGAGCGCATATATTGTATAAGTAAGCGAAGATACGTTTTATATTGATAAATACTTAAATATGTACTAATATGGGCTTATGAGATTTTTTTTTAATTACTACAACCCAAAAATATTACTTCACTTCTTTTTTTAAATATTTATTTACTTATCAGTCTTACAGAAATTGTAAAATAGAAGATATAATATTATACATAGGACCTAGTAGTAATAAAACTCCTACTTTTTCTTCTTTCTATTATTGACTTCATATTATATAAATACACTATTTTGCCTTTTCCTTGGCTCTTTTATTAAAGTTAATCAGTCATAAGAATAGTCATTATTAATTAAAAAACCTTTAAAAGACACCAGTAATGGTTTAAATTAAGAGCTCTGCTCCTCCAGCCATTACCTACCATTGCGAAGCATCCAAAAGGGCGGAGCCTAGTGTTTTATTTTCATGTTTGAACAATGAACCGTAATAAAAACTCCTTATGTCTCTGTGTAGCTGAAACGGGTATACAACATATGTACCTATAAATACTACCCAAAAGCTTCGTAATTAAATTATACCTATAACCATAGACAACCGTATTTCGCCCGTGACCTATCATTATAGAACAAACTGCCAATTACGACAAATACTATTTTGAAATAGGTTTTGTTACAGGCCATTGTCGTTGTGTTAAGGGCATATGTAATTAGTCTAATGCATCCGGCCAATTTGTTGACAACAGAGTGTTTTATACGAATCGCTTAGAATATTACTAATGTCTGTACATTTGCACTCATAGTTTTTGATTTATTGACGCAAATTAGTGTATTAAAATATCTGAAAATTATATAATTATAATAATGAACTAGCTGTATCAGCGACTTCGTTCGCGTAGAATAGTTATTTTGGGCATCCAAATTTGGTTTTGCAAACATCCTCTTCTTCTTTATGAATTTGAGCTGTGTCCTATCCTACCGAAACAAACTATTATTTCTCAGGATTTCTCTTGCTCAACGCAATGCTAGGCCACTTTTAACCATTTAACTACGGAGGCGGAGAGATAATATCATACTAAAGACATATAATTCAAAATAGGCAATTAATTCCGACAAACAATTGCAACTCAACAATTACAAATACAAATAAACCTGTTATTAAAGTCGTATTGATTAAAGCATTAAGCCGAAGAAATAATATTGGATTGATTCGATTACAAATCCATTACTTACTGCAATTCTAAGGATCTCTTGTTCATAGTTCAATAAGTACTTTGTTGCTGCAGGCCACAATTATTGATGTTTATAGATTAGATGCACCTATGCACATTAAAGTACTGTATTGTTTGAGATTTTAAAAATAACTCAATATTTATAGTCTGTGAGTGCTTATATATGTGATATACTATAAACTCACAGACTATAAATGTTGCGTAATTGAAAAAAGTAACTTATTTATGTGCATGAGATTCACTGGTAGGTGAAATATCATAGTCATGTAACATCTAAACAAGATGCGCTATTTTGGATCTTGAAATTCGGTAACCCACAGACTAAGTGGTGGTAAGACTCGGTGGTTTGTGACTCGGACTGAATATCGATATTCCTACAACCTATTTAATATCCAGATTTCCAAACGAGTTTCAACGTATTTCAGAAATTATATCTTACATTAATAACGTCATATAAATGGGCTGTCGACTTATTTTGATTTTTAGATATTCGGCTTAAATTTTTACTTTTAAATGTTATGATAGCTTTATTTGCTTACAGTAAAAACGGATTTACATACCAAATTGTTTATTGATTATATTCTTATATTAAAACTAACAATAAACTTTACACTTGTGGTACTTATTTTAGCCGAGAAAAATAATTTTAAGTAAGCCTGGCTTATACCTAGTAGAATAAACTACGACACTTTAACTTAGACGAAATATCTTTGCTAATTTCGAATACCTCCACGACCCGGGAATGTCCATTCAAAATTCTGAATGTTATTTTAGGATAAACAGACGTCCGATGCCGGAACAAACATGTGTGTGTTGTTGTGCATCTAACCGATTTCGTAGCCTAAAATATATATATTCGGGTTATAAATTAGGAAGATTTCCGCGACACAAACTTATCGGTAAAACTTTCGTCGGACTTGTTTCGTAAGAAAAAACATATATATATCTAAATCTGTGTCAGCTTTTGCGGAACTAGGAAACGATATTATAAATCAGAGAAGAAAAATCGGTAAGCCACCTACAGCTATATTTATATACAGGTATAAAGACTATTCTCGGAAATAAAACAATTTAAATACTAACCTCAAGCTTTTAGAAAACATTTTAGACGCGATTTTGAATCAAAGTACTGATCTTTTACAAGCCATAGCTTAGCCTACATATAAAAAATGTAATGCACCGCACCACGTGTTCGTCCGCATGTGTGCAGCTATTGAGGGGTTCTTGCATAAGAAATAATTATTTAGGCATGTCAATACACGAGCTATTAAATACTGTGAGGTAAGTCGTAAATGTTGTTTTGTGTTAGAACATACAGCAGTCGGTATTGTCATGAAAATGTTAACTACCACTGAAAAGGTGGGCGCAAAGCCAACTAGTGCGACGTTTCAACACGGTTTAACGTCCGGCGAACTTTGTTTTGTACTTGAAAACAAATCCGACAAGTGCGAAATGGATTCGCGAAGGGTTCCGTACCATTATAAAAAAATCAAGTATTCCTAGTAGGGAGAGAGAGAAAAAGTTTATATACTACTACTATAACCCACACAAATATATATAAGACTTATTACTAAACATAAAAATAAATATAGTACACTAATAATAATACACAGAAAAATACGATGGCCTCCGCCTACAAAATACAGAAGAAGTCATAATGTGCACTTACACATCTACAGACACATTTTAATCTATCCAGACTCTTATTATTTAGGGAAGTATAGAAGCAGGTAAAAGTAAAATCCGACAGAAACAATCTATTGGTTTCCCGGGATTCAGACCTCTTGCATTTAACGCAATGCTAGGCAACACGTTGAACTATTAACCTACAGAGGCGGTGTATAAGTAACTGGACTTTTATTAGACGGTCTTATATTTTATTTGAATACATACTGTTAAATACTGTCTATAGTTTACGCGATAAAATTTAAATAAAACACTTTAACGGTTTAAAACGCGATATATTAGTTAAACTTATTTGAAAATGATTTTTAACTTCGGCCCGACGTTTCGGATGCTTTGCAGCAGCCGTGGTCTATCGTGGTCAACTAATATATCGCGTTTTAAACCGTTAAAGTGTTTTATTTAAATACATACTGTTAGTTACTTCGAAAGTTTATCATTAAATTAAATAACATATAGTCGTTCCCCTGGTAACGTTATTGATAAACAATCACATTGAGCCTCAGCGACTATCGTTGACTATGAAATACCCTGGTGACAACACTAAATCTTAAATCTTAGAAATAAGACCCGTTTCCAATTTCACTACGGAATCCCAGAAATTAATTACACAATATTATTGACAGCCAACGGACATTCTGAAGTTTCAGCGTTAAGAACGTTCTCAACACTATGCATAATCTATTTCGAATAGTTGTTTTTGCCAAAAAACTAGTCACTATTAAAAATCTCAAAGCTTCTTTAATTAGGGTATTTTGTAAAAGGCCGATATTTTTTTTTGTTTGTATTTAAATTATGTCACCAATATTGTGGCAATCCTATTATGTTCTAAATGCGATTCATTCTTCATGATTTATCACTTCCTTCCACAATATTAAGAATTCTCGTACCTCGTTAGCTTCTCTAATAACTTATAACGAGATCAACCACATAATATATGTATAGTCGTCGGAGATAGACCGCAACTAACTCAGCCCAACCTTACTTGTCGTACATTTCCGTGTCTCGTATTTCTTTACTATTGTTCTAAAATCGTTCGCCTGCCTATGTTACAGTGAGCTTTGTTCTTTTGTTTAAAAATTAGCATAAAAAATCTTAAGACAAATTTCTGTTGTGACTGTAAAATTCAGCGTCAGTCCTAGTTAATATTTCAAGCGCCATTAAGCGCTGGCTATCTTGAAACGTTGCCGAATGTTGGTTATGCATCTAAAAATCGAAATTGTTTTTCCACTGTGGCCGCTGGCAGATTGCCATGTAGTCCATTCCACTATTTCGTACTGATGGCTTCACGGTTCATGCGGAGATCGACCGATGCATTAGAAGGAGACTATGTTCAATAATCACCAATACGTACAGTTTTGTGTAATTAGCAAACACTAGCAGTTAATATGTAGGTCGTCAGAAGTAAGGTATTGTGGATAGATATGAACATACATTTTGTACCTTAAAATAAACTAATGCTTAACTTAACATCACAACTATATTGTGCAATATTCTTAAAGATTGACAGTGACAGATTTCTCAAACGCAACCTTTAAAAAAACCTAATCACGCAGATAGACAATAGGAAATATGAAAACCATATAGGTACATGGACAATTTTCTAATATCAACAGCGTTTATTTTTGTATTTTTTTAAAGATTCGCTAGAACATGAGTACGCAGGATTAATGTAGCAGAATAGTTAACCTTCTGATAGGATTTTTGTGTCTTACCATCAATCACTCGTGATATTACATGCATGCATTTTACTTATTAAGTTGTTTAAATTGCAGTTCAACTTCGTGGGTAGGATCTTGGGGCCCAGGGGTATGACTGCCAAACAGTTGGAACAAGAGACAGGCTGCAAAATCATGGTCAGAGGAAAAGGGTCCATGAGGGACAAGAAGAAGGTAATTACCAATGTTGGTCTAATTTTCCTCTTTTATTACTTATTTAATGAGTATGCTAATCAGATGCCGCTTGCGGCTTTTCACATGTTGAATTCGTAATTTTTATTAGATGTCCTCATTAACATATTGATAAGGAAGTTGCGGTTGGTATTTCTTTTTATCTTATAATTATCTTGAAATGTTGATATATATCTAGTATTGCATATTGATATAATTTAGTAACATTCTAATTTCTCAAAACTGGATTTCACCTATTGACTTACCAAATCTTTAAAATATTTTTATGATTGAGGAGAACAGACAGCATGGGTTTCACAGGATTTAAGGATCAGTTATCCCTACCAGCTATATAGATTTTAAACTGATGAGAAACACGTTGGACCCGGTGAAGATCGAATCCACGACTCGTTGATTATAACTCATACATTGCTACTCGTACCATTACACCAGCGAGAAATTGGTATCGAAGTTTATATGATAGAAGTATAGGCTTTTATCAATAAGAGAATTGATTAATGTGGTAAAATAATGATGGTTTTCAAATTGCAATCAACTGCTCGAGTAAGAATTTTGACGTAACCCTCGGAATGCTTTTGGGAGGTATTCTTGGCACCGAAATTGGCCTTTCCTCAATTATTTCTTGGTCTGTGTGAATTAGAATAAAGTTAATACTGTCCAGTATGTTTCTAATGATTTATCTGTTGGGTACATTCCAGGAAGACGCGAACAGGGGCAAGCCAAATTGGGAGCACCTGGCTGACGATCTACACGTACTGCTCACAGTGGAGGACACTGAGAACAGGGCAAAGATCAAGTTGGGCAGGGCAGTGGAGGAAGTTAAGCGTCTGCTTATTCCAGTAAGAATTGGCTCCCTAGTATTATTACTGTTCTTCTTAGAAAAAACGTACTTTGCACTATGTAATAGGAACTCTCTCTGTATCATTTTTATATTATATTTATAAGATATTCGTAGAGCATCGCTAGCAAGTGATCAATAGGACTAAGTGTAAAAAAAAAGAAATGAACGACTTAAAATTTTGCATGTCTCTGAAAAGGAAGTCTTCGTTAATAAGTAAGTGTTATGCATTTTCTGAATTTGTCTTAGTTTAGTAAGTAGAATCGCGTTAAAGAAGCATTTTTCACAATTTAATGGTGCAATTTATAATTATAATGCGGCATTTATGTGTGTCCGAGGAGGCATGGAGTAGACTTCTATCTGATATTTGACACTAGTGAGCCTATGGGGTCTAACTATGGTATTTAACTTACAATGGTAAGAGCCATGACTGTTTATACAAAAAATGTAAGGTACTAAAAGTTCTCTGTGTCAATTTACAGCAAGCCGATGGAGAAGATGAACTGAAGAAGCGTCAGTTGATGGAACTGGCTATAATAAACGGCACATACCGTGACTCAAGCGCAAAAGCCGTTCCAGTCAACGGTCAGTGCGTATTAAGTATGGTCATTTTCATGTTTTGTCACTTACATACACTAAGCTCTCACTAACTAAGGACTATATTTTGAGTAAATACTTGTAAAGTAAGTTCGGTTTTAATCGAGAAAAAGTTATTACTTCGCTTATTTTTAATGTAATCTATTTCGCATTTTAAACCATTAAAAGTGGTTACCACAGACAAAACTTAATTATATGGTATGCATATATACTTAAAGGTTTAATCAACGTATAGTCCAATCGAATTTCCCAACTTAAAATCTATAGAATTATTAATACCACAGTATGCTAATTGATTAGGTAAAATAATTTTAACACGCTTGACATTTTGTACATCATCATTGCAAATTAGTATGAAAACGCGATATAACGTAATATTTCTGAGGCCAAGGTTCACAGCCCACCTTAAAACCCCGCTAATGGTAAACCAAGCACTTGCAGCTCGACACTTTATCATTATGTAAATATTCTTATGTCACCTTTTTCATTACGGGAATAATTTCAGAGCATTATGAGTCATATTTTCAAAGATGACTAACTTAATAGTTAATTGATTTGTGGCATGTTACGGCTATTAACTAACATGGGTGATTTCATTGTGACAAATTGCCGTGGCCAATGTCTCAAGGGTCCATGACGCATTAGCGTAGGTATTTTAAGTCCCCCGTATGCTAAAAACCTTTTGTACAACGAAGAGGACTCCACAGCTGACGAGGAATGGCGTCGCGTTGCTGCTGAAACTCAGAGACTGCTCGCACCCACTGGCGGTGTAGCCGGCGTGGGCAGTGTGGCCTTACGCACCCAAGCGCCTCTGGGGGCACCCTTGATCCTCTCTCCGCGCATGACAACTGGGCCGGGAGCTCAAGCTAGCCTGCTTAACGGTACAGGCGCGGGTGCTGCTGCCGGTCTGCTGTCGCCCGGTGAACCAGCCCACCAGCTGATCTACGCCTCGCCGTACGCTGATTACGCTAACTACGCAGCGCTGACGGCCGCTGCGAACCCCTTGCTGACAGCGGAATACGCCGCCGCTGACCATACGGGTGGGTTATTCGCCCGTTGATCTCATATGCTAACACCTACTTGTCAGGTGTTACCAAACATTAAAACACTAATACTTAAGGTATCGGGTTTACGTCCAAACGAGTCAGTCAGTATGAAGTTAGGTAGGATAATTTAAAACTATACAATCGTAGAATAGATAAATAACATGCATGTTTTAATTTGCAGCTTAGTTGCGATATTTATACATAGAACCAGGTCAGTTGAAATCGATACTCTCGTATTCTCGACTCGCATGCCTGTCTAACCCCAGACTATGAATTCGATATGCTAACACGACTGAGTTTTGAGAGAACGTAACAGTACTAACTTAGAAAAGTTAAAAGTTCGAGCCTCGCGGATTAACGGACTAATACAAGGCTAAATCTTTATTGAAATGTGTTTGAATTAAATGTTTTTGATGGGGTTGCAGCGTCGAGGTACCTTCTCGCTGGCTTTTGACATTGGCCGCATTCGCATCAGACCTCAATAAGACCAGACAGGCTTCAGTCGCCGGCCTTCACAACATTTTTACCGTCCTTGACAGATCTGTACACGAATGCCTTTCTCGAGTCATAATACCGACTATTAACATAGCTTAAGACTTAATTAAGAACAATCTAGTTGTAGATCCGATTCTGTACCTATACGTTATTGAGTTTTTATCGTCTGTTATGTACAGTCGCGCAAAGTATAACTTGTTCTAAACGAAGAGATATTATTTATATTATAGCAGATTTTAATATTTACGTATTTATTGCAATTTATTTTTACGATTAGCCGATCGGTTTGTCGCTATGGCAGTATTGTTATAGCGCAGGTTTACGTTAGCTGCCAAAACAATTTTTAGTTACCGTAAAATCGTTTGCATAGTTTTTTTACACACAAACAAAAGATAATATTAGTTATTGACCCACTCAAATCTTTAGATAGATTTGTGATTTCCTTTGCTTGTAACATAACTAATACATTAACATTTTTATTCACTTTCAGTTTCATATTTTTATGAGTCAGCCTGCATGTGTTTCCACAATCTGTGAATAACTTTGAGTTTCTATTAACAATAAATTTCTGAATGACGAAATAATTATATTAAATTCAGTGATTACAAGCAAAAGGGACCAATTACGATTTGAATTTGCCAATTAAATTAATCATATTTAAATAAAACACTTGAACGGTTTAAAACGCGATATATTAGTTAAACTTATTTAAAAATGATTTTTAACTTCGGCCCGACGTTTCGGATGCTTTGCAGCAGCCGTGGTCACGGGGAGTTTAACTAATATATCGAGTTTTAAACCGTTAAAGTGTTTTATTTAAATGTGTACTACTCGCGTAAACTATAGACAGTATTTAATCATATTTACCAATTTAACTGAACTGACTACTTATCAACAAAATACACGAATAGTCTTGCAACATTTTGCTTTTACAGTTTTATTATTTTTAATAATAAAATTTCACTGTGGGATTTAGAATACACAGATATATAGATGTTGAATTATTGTTATAGTATTCGATAATTTAATAATAATTTATTAGCCATATATAGTATTTTATCGTATTTATAGGCATACCATAGACTAAGTTATATTTTATCTTCTGAAGATTTATAGTCTAGCTTAGAAGTGGGTGAGCTTAGTAAAAAGAGTATTTCATGTTATTGATGTACACTACGCAGTTATTATAATTAATATAATATAAAAAAGCCATCCGTTTTCTGTACCTTATGGGTTTTGCTTACCCTATAATCGTTTTTTTTTTTTTTCCAAAGCAATGATATAAATTTTAGGTTAATTAGGATAGATCGCTCGTAGATAATAGTTTTTCTGCCAAACAAATCTTCGAAATTTTTTACGACGTCTCAATAAATTAGACATCAAATGAGATTATATTTTACCAGCATTTATTTATCACATAACACCCAGGAAATGAAGAACTACAAAACGATTTCCGAAAATTGCATTAGGCTTTAGAAATACTAAACAAAAGCTTCATTCCAGAAAGCATCGCCACTTTAATAAATTGTATTTAACATATGTATGATAGTCCAATTCCTGGGTGTGATTTTGAGGAAAAAGGTTGATGAGATGCTCTGTTCAGACACAGATGATAAATATCCTGTGCCGCTAGGTGTCGTGCGGAGGGCGGGACGACTTACGCAAGTGAGGGAGCACCCTTACCAGCGCACTGCCTTACCGGCGCCTTAAATTTCCCGCCAATTCTCACGCCGCCATTTTGTTTACAAGGTGAGAAGCGCGCACGGAACGCATGCTTTACTATGAATATGCTTGCTCCATTGTTGGAAGCCACCAGTTTAATGTTACAAAGAGTTGAATTTGCTGGCGTGCAATTATTTTCTTCAGTATTTCGTCAGATAAATGTTGTACTTCTAGAAGCTTATGTAGCAACCATATTCGCTAGTAAGAATGCGTAAGCGCCTTTGCTTTATGGTCTCTCTGTGTCTTTTTATTTATTATGTACTTATTTTAGCTATATCTTTAGTTAGGTCGATCTAGGTATTATGCCCCTCACTACTTCACACTGGATCTGAAGTGAACCTGCATAATTTTTAAACTGTGATTTTTATATTTCATTTTTATAGATTTTTTATCTGTTACGTGTTGTGATATATAGCGATTTTTATGAACAACTTGGTGAGCCCGGTTAAGAACAATTTTGTTACCAAATATGGATATATTGCGATATCACAGCATGTTCTCTTGTCACGCTGAGTGATTTTGTACTCCGGGTATTGTTTAGAAATTTAAGTACGGGAAGAAGGATCGATGTTTCAACGTATTCAGTTACTTCTGCCAAATACATTTCAAAGGTGCTACATTCGGGTTGTGAATCCTTCTTTCCCCATTTCCCTAGTATTAGTCAAAGGACAGCGCATTTTAATTTGTGCCATCTATCCAGTATTAGACAAAATGCACCTCCTTTGACTTTATTATAATCATCACAAGTTTTTCTTAGTCAATACAAGTTTTATATAAAGAAATTAGTTAGTTATTTCTATTTTGCCCTAGGTATTATATCTTTCGTATTTGAAAGCGTTAATCTAAGGTTATTATTATTATTATTATATGCACTTGTGTCCTTGTGGATTTTAATGACGAATGTCTTACGTATTTTCACGCTTTATATTATAAAATGAATTTCAAATCGAATCGCTGTAGATCTATATAATAAGCGCATTGTGTTAATTGTTTCAAAAATTGTTGAATGTGAACATCCAATGCATTTTGAGAGGATAATATGCAATAAATTGTCTGAAATTTTCATATTTGTTTTTTCTTTTAGCTGCGAGTCGCGCATTTTGTTTTTTTTTTTGTTTCTTTTGAGAAAAGTCGATAAAGTTGATGACGTGCGGTCTTTTGGTAAATAGCCTTTACACAACTAACCGCAACTCCACAAGGCCAAGTTCCCGTTTGACATAATTACGATATGCACTGTCATAACTGCCGTTCTCACGACGTTATTTGTAATTATTTATTTATATTATATGAGTCACTAACATGCAAATATGTAACGACATTATTATCACAGACTTATTAACAACTACGTGAATGCTACCATATTATACAATATTATAAAACTATGATTGTGTTGAGTAACTTACATACTTGCATCGGGGTGCTATGGTTATAAGTGATAAAATTACCTATGCTTATTGAGCAGTGTTTGACGTAGCCACAGAGGGTGCATCAAGCACTGCGCTTATGGGAACTATTGGGCATTTAATCCTATTATGTAGATCATTATCATACTAAATTATAACATCAACCATTAACCGCGTCGACTAATTTAAAATAAGTACCCGTTGTTAATTATTAACTAGAAAAATGTCGCGGCACGAATGCCTGATAGCCTCCCGCCGTTAGTTTAATTTCTCTATGATTCCGTACACCTACATCGATCCGAGATCGCGGATCACCGCTTTTGTTAGCTGCATGACCCGTATCCAAGCCTCGAGCCCCTAAGGCGAAATAAGCCGGAGCCAAGTTATCAATAACTAAGATGGAGAAGAAATAATGAATGGAATAGACTTCAAATATTTTGTTATTCTTTAACTTTATCGTTTTGTAATTGAACAATTACAAAACGATAAAGTTGTCCATTAGCCAAGTGTTCACTCGGCTAATGGAAGAGAGGCACTGTTTCAATCAGACGCTATATCAATTGCGGCTGAAGTTTTGCCGGCGAAGTCAGAAGCAAAAGCGTTGACCCCAAGAGCTCGCGATTGAGGCTTCGTGTAGTCGGACCATGGCATTTCAATCGATACTAACATTCTGTTTTCTCTCTTCTCGTTAACCCGGCTAGGTACGTGCTAAGGCGCAGAGGCACTAACTGAAGAAGCGGCCGGCCGCGCCACCGGTTACCAGACCTTGCTCGCCGCTAACATTATCACCGGAACATCGACCACCATGTAGCTATGTTGGGCCTTTCACGTTAACATATACTATGTATTTTAATAGTCTAACTATTAACAATTATATGCCTGTTATGTTTATAACATAATGAACTTTATTAACAATTATATACTTTATTTATTAAATGGCACACGCCATCGACTATATTCACTGTATTGTTGATATGTACTTTTGTTGTCGCTTGATCGTTTAGCACGAGTGTTGTTAGGTCACCCTTTATCTAACGGCGCTAAATTTTTATTTTTCCTTCGAGTTTTGTCTTCGTATTCCCCATTGCAATAGAGGCGCATTATCAAAAAGTTCGTATGTTCTTATAGTTGAAAAAAATTTAGCGCTGACACAACTGAACATAATCAAGAGTGTTGTTTTAGAAGCAACTATATGATTTATATTGAATTATTTCGCTTTAAGTGTTTTCTTGACATTTTGTCTTGTTAGTGTAGAACGTAAAAATGTAGTACAAAGTATAATATGGACAAATCGAGTGGCCTTTACCATATGCAACGTGGCGTGCGACTGTAAAAGTAAGTATTGGTTCAAATCAAATAATTCACTCAAGATTTTATTTAACGAGTGATTCGATTAGGCTAGGGTCCTTTATAAATGCTAAAGTTTACAGTAGGTACATAAACAATAGCCGTATCGTCCGTAACAATTGTCGACAATAATGCTTGCGTTAATTTCGATTAAACAATTGAGAGGAGACTCCATCCGCGATCGTAAACGAGTGAGGAAGACAACAATAGTCTTCCATAATTCTAGCGGCGTAACGCATCACGCTGTTGACGGTTCATAGTGTTTATAAAAGACCACAGCCTTAGAGTATATCATTTCGTGTACAAGTCGACTCATCATTTTGGCAGAACATTAATAACTTAAAACCAAAGACTAACAGACGAAACATCTGTTCGATATTTGTATTAAAGTCTTCCTACAATTTAAAATTGTCGATGCGTACATGAATTTTTTAAATCATATTTTAGATTATATTTTTATTATTAGTGCTTAATAATTTATACATATAAAATGAAGTGTGCATCCCAAGTGCCTTAATAATGTACAATGTTCACGTTAATGGTTCTATATTGTTATGCTTATTTAGATAAGGAAAGTTGGGAAGAGATTAAATTATTGTTAACTTTACTAAATGTTAATGTTTATTACAACTTTCATAATTCAATGGAGTAAGAAATATAATCTCTTTATTTTAATAGGTTTATTCTAGTTTGTAGTTCTATTATTTTTTTATTAAGAAGCCGCCGTTGCAATCTCCTTCGAGAATCTCTAGATCTTTGAAACCACTTTGATTCAAGAACTCTCAACTTAATAACGCTGTTTTCTCTGTCAGCGTGTACTCGTAGTTGGTCTCGATATCAATACGCAACTAGGGCATTCGTAGTCTAAATAATGTAAATAACTTAACGTGTAAAGTCAAAGCAATAATATTTTCAATTATAACATATATAATCGTTAGTGCAATAGATTTTAATATGTTGAAAAGAATTCATATTTTATTTTACGTCCCAACAAAATCGTTGGGAAATATAAAATATTTATGAGATCTGATGTTGAGATTAAATCTTTAGAGATATTTTATTAATGAATTATTGGTTCGGATATATAAAATGTGACGGTAAAGTAGATTATGGAGATTAGATTCATCACAGTTTTTTAATATCAGATTTGTTTTATAGCAAACCTTTCGTTGAAAACGCTGTCCGTCCAAATAAACTTCATCGTCTAAGTACTTAATTTGTTGGTATCTCAATCATAACTATTATTTAAGCCAGCATTGACCGAGTAATCGTTTGTCCATTTCACATTTTAGTAATGCATCGCTATTACAGATTATTTACAAAGCCGATGTACAAATACTTTCTTTTTAAAATATCGTACAAATTATTTTGCTATACATAACTAAGCATTTATTTTGCTATGCCATAAACATGAAAAATATTCTAAATGCCTATATAATAGAAATTAAGCTTACAAATTATAAACGTACAAAACTGTTTTCTATCTGCGTATAGTATTTTTTAAATATATCCGGTTAAATTCTTTATTGCAATAAAAATATTGTGCCATCTGGTGACGTCATACTTCAACGTCATTATTAATTGTACTTATTAGATCTTTATATGGCAATTAAATGAAAAGTGCCTTTATCAACATTGTAAATATTTATATGTAATAAATTTATCTTTCAAAAGTATTACTTATAGAAGGGAAAAATTCTTAAAATTATTTTCCAAAAACATAATATAGTGTATCTATTATATTCTACGTTTAAATAAAAGTTTAGTTAAGTGAGATTGTGCATATTACTTATGTCTGTTTTAATGTGTGTTAAGATTGATTTGGCATTCGTAAATATATTATTTGAAAAATATACAGTGTTTTACTTTAATGTTTCTGTAACATGAGTCGTATTTTGGCAAACATAGTAATAGTAACTTTTTATCGACAATCTCTGATATTATGCATCTTATAAAAAACTTCTGATATGTCTCTATTTTTGGGGTAATTTTAAATGTCTTGACAGAATAAAAAGTGTCAACGACACTTGTGTATTCTTCATTTATATTAGCGCCATCTATACTGAAATAGAAAAACTTAAATACTTACGGTATAGATAATAGCGTTCTATTCTTTACATCAACTAGCATCCGGTTTCATTTTAATCTAGCAGAGGGTCCAAAGATACATTTGTTTATTTGTCTTTTAAAATAAAGAATAAATAATTAAAATAGTGTAATATTTTTTTATACCTTAAATAATAATAATTACGTTTTCATTAATCAATTATAGAATTCTGTGTAGTTTCGTAGTGGTGCGCAAAAATACATAAACATTATAGGTATGTATATAAATAACATTAAATATAAACTATTTCTCTCTTTGTTGAAGCATTTAGACATTGCATTGTACATACAATTTTAACAATAATCATTCGAGCTTTGTGTTGTTGTAACTTAACGCATTTTTAACATTCAACCGCCATTTTGTACTTTTGGCGATGGCAGGAAATGGAATTTTAAATTTGCCATTCCCATGGCACGTGAAAATAAACAGCCGCTAGTTTGTAAAACTGCATTTGCCGCTTAACGTTTTGCCGGGTTTTACCCGGGAAAAAATGTAACCCGTCCGCACTAATGTATTTTAGAAGTGCCATTTACATGCCATTTCCTCTCCATATGTTTTAATTTTACAACAAATGGTGTTTCTAGAATCACCGTTTTTTTCCATTGGAACAAATCTCCATTTTGTGAACTGACCTATATATATCTATATTTTTTTAGATATCCTTAAACATGTGGTGTGTTATTTATTACAAATTGTCGTTACTAATATTTTATTATGGATTCCTAATATTTTCTAGCTATAAATATAATGTTTTTGCTAAGGATGAATATAGCTGTTTAATGGAGAAAGCTCCTTTGAAATAGGAGCATCTGTTTTTGAGATCAGTTAATACAAACACACAACTTACATATTAGCGTATATTACTTCAAAATTGACCCTGTCTCGTCTCTATTCGATATTGACAGATTTCTATAATATCCTTTCCAAGTTTCCAGTGAAGACCATGTAAATACATTTAACGCTTATAAAACAACAAAAAACAAGACTGAAATTACACGAATCACTACATATTACCTACATGACAATAAAATTAAATTTTAGTCTTCATGATGTAATTGTGTTTCTAATTTCTTGTAATTGCGTGTCTTCATGTATTTCATGATATTTCTCGTCTTTCCTTTGACTTAGAGCCTTAACTTCTAACTCCATTAAACGCGTTTGATTATATCCGTCATAATAATTACGTTTCACCTTGGTCGTATTGAGTTATTTTTCAATATCCTGCGTCTAAATTGGACATGCCTTTCAAGTGTCACTAAGCACGTCTTGCGGCGTCTTTGCCTGTTATTAACAAACTAGGGCCAAGATTTATATGCATGAGCTATAAATGATGTATAATTGAACCGCTTAATAATAAATCTTCATGTTCTGCTTCTTAAATGACTTAAAATGTAATCTTTCAAGTTATAGGGTTCTATTTTATACATTTTAATAAGATGAAGTTTATTATACAAAGTATATTTACACATATCTATTAATTATAATGTTAAAAAACTGTGCCTAAACTCAAGTACTGTCTGTAGGTTACGCGAGTATTACACATTTAAATAAAACACTATTAACAGTTTCAATCGTGAAATGTATTAGTTAAACTTATTTACAAATTACCATGCAACCACGCCTGCTGCAAAGCATTTTCGAACTGTAGGTACAATTCCGTTTTAAACAGTCAAAAAATATCTTCTATAAATTTCGATTCCAATATCAGATTAGCATTAGTTAAGACAGTGACAATACTTAATACTGTAAAAGTAAAAAGTTATAGTTAATTTCTCTGATTTATTATGCTCTTTACCTTAGAATATGTTTAAGCGGGATTCGAACCCAGGACCTCTTGCGCTTCATTAGAGTATTGCTCCAATTTTCTTATTTTGTAGAAAGCTCGTAACAAAACATGGAAAATATAATACGTTGGTGTTGTAGCCTTGGGATTGTGCGTGCGAGGGAGTTCTAGATGGCTTGGGGCAGTTACTCGTAAAATTGCAGCCGACCCTGAGGGGAACGTCTCAAGACGCCTGTGCATTCTTATAATCATAGTACACCATTGTTTTGTAGATGCTGCCACGTGGTAGAACTTTCTACCTCGTACATATTGACACATAGAAGAAATACTTAAAAGAAACACAAAAGGGGTTTTATATGAGGAAGTTCTGGTTGTCGTTATCGACCAAGCAAAACTGTGACCGAATTTTAGACCTGTAAATTACATTTAAAAAAAGCTTCATTCGCCATTTCAAAGAATAATTATTCTTTTTCAT